GTCATCAATGGGAAGTCTTTCCTCTCTTCCTCACACCAATCCCTAATTAGTCCATTTTCTGCCAAAGTTTCCAGAGCCCACAGCATCATGGGAAGGTAATTCCCTTTCCTATAAATGTATGTACATTGCTGCCTCCCGTCTGCACATCTCCTCTCTGCAAGGATTGATAAAGAAAATGGATGAGGAACTCTTTGCATGCCCAACTCTCATATTTCCTTGCTACAATCACTACAATCTATCCCTTCCTTCCCTCCCTTCTCTTCCTTCTCCCTCTGATTATATATGAGGTTATGAACATACAGTAGAAGTTGACTATCAATCAAGCATGTTTGTTTAATTAGAGAAACAACCAGCTGTCGTTTGACAATCTGGAAAATTAGTTATAAGTGTAGTATTTTATACAATTAGAATTTGTCATTTGAAAAACATCATATGAAAAATCAATAGCTCTATGTAGTCTACTTTTCTGTCTCCCCTCTTTTTTCAGTTTAGGCTTTTACTTTTTTACTTCATAGCAAATCAGCAATTCCCTTACTCAGAGTAGTTTTCCCAACGTCAGTCAATCAATCAATCAACAATTTATGAAATACTTAAGTTGTGCTAGGTACTGTGTTAAGCATTGAGGGTACAACCCCGATAGAGGTGTGAGGGTTGGCATTTTTTGTTATCTTAGATAGCAAATAGCTTAGTCTTTGATTCCATCTGTCAAGTTTATCTTGACATCAGTACTGTACAAAAATGTAACATGTTCCAATAGTGTGGCACATTACCATTAAGGAATGAATAATGGTAACTGTGATCTCTAAGTACAAGTTTGCTTTGGAGATGTTGATATTTTATTTAATATATTTTTTTGTTTTATTTTTGTTTGTTTGTTTCTTGTCTGGTAATGGGGTTAAGTAACTTGCCCAGGTTCACACAGCTAGTTAAGTGTCAAGTGTCTGAGGTCACATTTGAACTCGGGTCCTCCTGACTCCGGGGCAGGTGCTCTATCCACTGCGCCACCTAGCTGCCCCAAGTTGTTGATGATTTAGCAAGACGTTAAATGCTCAAGGTAGAAGTTTCTGTGAATTCCAAAGTGCCTATGACAGGAAACAAAGTATCACTTGCACTAGAGATCTTGAATACCGATTTTTTTCAAATTCTCTGCTATACAGTAATCCTCATTCTTCACATTCAAAAAATAAAGCACTATCACTTTTGACTGATTCCAACTCTAGATGGAAAACAAACCCATAAAGTGAGTTTGTTTTATGAAATGCCACAAAGATACTGCTGCAAAATCAAGTTAGATTCATATGGTGGTAAAATAATATCCGCTTAAACTTTATATAGTGTCTAGGAAAGATGGATAATGTAAGCCATTAAAACTGAAAGGCAAAAATAAAATCATAGATATATCTAGAACACTTTTTTTAAACAATAGAAACACATTTTTATGAAGTTCTACAGTATGACACGTCAAGCATTACCATTCTTATTCAATAATTTTATGTACCAGTGATTCTATAAACAAAGATATAGGAGAATAAATGAACAAACAAAAAATAATAAGCTCAAGTAATAATAAAATAATAAATCCCAAAATGTCACCAAGTAATCCATCTAAGACCTTCATTTTACATGTGAAGAAACAAAGTCCCAAAGAAATTAAGTGATATAATAGATAACAACGATTTAATAATGATGATGATGATTCTATGTAAGGGTTGCAAAGCACTTTACAAATTTATCTCATTTTGTCCTCAGAACAAACCTGGAAGGCAGATGTTATTACTATCCACACCTTACAGATGAGGAAACTGAGGAATACAGAAGTTATTTGCCCAAGGTCACATGGCTACTAAATATCTGAAGCTGTATTTGAACTCAGATGAACCTGCCTCCAGGCCTAGTCTGTGAGGCTGCTCCTAATGCAAGTCCTGTGCTCTTTATATTAAACAAGCTTTTATTATATATATTATTTAAAATAAGCTTTCCACAGTAAAATAACTTCCCTATTTTAGTTTACTATTTCCACTTATAATCATAAATTGTGACTATGAGTGAGGGAAACAAATAAATTTCTCTTCATTTCTATTTATTTCTGTGCTTTTGTCTTTTTAGTCAATTCCTTTACAATCTACCCTACTATTACAAAAATAGAAGATATGGCAATTATTAGAAATGACAAATACTTAGGGACTGGTACAAAGGTGATTTGTACTTTATTATGTAACTATACGCTACCCATATATTTGGGGTATGTCAACATAAAAAAAAGAGCAACCCTAAATTTGAATGAAATCTTTTCTTTTCCCAGTTAATCAATAAACATTTATTAAGTGCCTGCTATGTTCCAGGTACTGCACTAATCACTGGAGACACAAAGAAAAGCAAAAGCCAGTCACTACTCTTGAAGAGTTAGAAGACAAGTGAGGAACAAAAGTTTTTGTACAAAAGTGGCTTCATTTCAAAATTTCTAACTCCAATCTTTCGAATAAGAATTTATTTGAAAATGATGCAAAAAAGTTCTATTACTTTTAGTTCCACATATATGGAACTTCTAGTCCCATATATAAAATAATATTGGATATTGAAGAATTTCAAAAAGCTTATATAATCTTAACCATTTTAGTTACAATTTGCTTGTCTCTCCTAAATTGGTAGGAGAAAACACAGTCTCCAAAACTTTCAAACTATGCCACATTCTTGACCTCTCAACAATTTCCCCCATCCTTCTTCCATATCCAATCTGGTGCCAAGGACAATTTTTTTTACAACACCTCTCCAATAAGGCCCTGTCTCTCTGACACTTCCACCATCTTGGTACAAACCCTCATCATCTTGCACCTGGACTACCGTAATAGCCTGCTGTTTGGTCTGTCTCAGTTTTCTCCTTATTCCAGTCCATCCTCCATTTAGCCACCAAAATGATTTTCCCAAAGTGTAGGTCTGACCTTATCACAACCTCAACTCAGTAAATTCCAGTGACTCCCTATCACCTACATGATCAAATACAAAAATCCTCCAGTTGGTGTTTAAAGTCATTCAAAACCTAGCTTCATTCCCTACTCCCCTCCACTTTTCTTGTACCTTGTGCCCCTCTCACCCCTCCTGCCTCCAAGTACTCTGTGAACAAGTGATACTGGCCTCCTTGGTCACAAACAACACACTTCATTTTTTGGCTCTGGGCATTTTCTCTGGCTGTCCTCCGTGCCTGGAATGTCTGTCTTCCTTATGTTTACCTCCTGGCTCCCCGGCTTCATTCAAGTCCTAGCTAAAATTTCACTTTCTACCAGGAGCCTTTCCCAATGCCTCTTAATCCTAGTGACTTTCCTAAATCAATTATTTCTCATTTTTCCTATATATCGTTCATTTGTACATATTTGTTTTCTGGTTGTCTGCCCCATTAACTTGTCAGTTTCTTAAGAGGACTATCTTTTGCCTCTTTATATTCCCAGCACTTAGCACAGTGCCTGGCACATAGTAGGTACTTAAAAAATGGTTACTGACCAACCTAATATGTATAGTTGTTTTTCATCTCTGCTTCTCATAATTAAATGAAAACTGTTGTGCTCTTGGAAAGTATAATATGACTAAGAAATGACCAACTATATTTTCATTTTAACTACTCAGTATTATACATAAAACAAATAGTTTCTATGTATCACACTTCTTCACAATCAAGTACAGAGTTGAAATTCATTTTACTATCTCTCAGGCTGAAAAGGCAGTGAGAACTTGCACAGTGACAGACAGTGTCCATCAAACTTCTGCCATAGCTGATTTATGTTATAACATATATGCCATAACCAATTACTTTTTAGAACATGTCAACATGAAAAAGAACGCAGCATTCAAATCTGGTCTAATACATGTGGTCTAATTTAATGCAGCTAGTCTACATTCTCAAATGACAAAGCAGGAGAACAGAAGCCAAATGGTAATAGAATTAAGCAACTCCAACCTCAGAGTACTAGTCTCAGTTATTTAGACCAGGTCTTGCTTATTTGGCTCAACATGTTCTGTCTTACTAATACCCTATCAATTATCTCTTTCTACTTTTATGTTCTACAGCTAGTTAAGAATTAAAAGACTTGCACAATGACTATTTCTAGTTCATCTCTATCATCACAGGAACCGTCCCCCTCCTAGTATCTTTTCATTGTCACTTGGGACCAAACCAATATAATGTCCAGACAAATGGATTCAAATATACCCATTCTGCTAAGATGATAAGATTTATTTTGAGGGAAAAAGAATGTTAGGAAAAAACACAAGTAAGTTTCCATTAAAACATAAAATATAACAGAGAAAAATATGGAAATAAATGACCACTAAAGTAAAATAAAGAGGCATCTGAGATGACTAATATTTGTTATTGAGAACCCAAAGCTGATACACTGTGTGATTTTTGTGAGTGCAAAAGGAGTCTAATTTGATTACCAGGTAGCAATTGGAAATCAATACCTAATGTTTTCAGAATCCAGCTAAACTGTTCTAAAAAGAAAAACAATGAAATATATAGTTAATAGACCATTAACTACATTGTGTACAATTCATCATAACTTGAAGATTCTAAAAATACCATGAGGCAGAAAATCAATAAGAATTTTTTTAGCTCCTAAGTTGCCGTGTATTTATTGCTATTGTAAAGCAAATAACAATTTGCTTCTTCTTGGTCCTGATGGAAATATAAGTCAATAACCCAACCCAAACTATTTTGGAAAATTTTTCACAAAGCACAAACACCTTGGAATAACTAGATTTGTCCAAATTAAGCAGGACTTTCAAATGCCTAACAAGCCACTAAAATGAAAAAAAAAATGAAATTGAAAACAGAACATAGTGATATTATCAGTAAAAATTTTAAGAATCCAAAACAAATTAAATACCATTTAATTAAGTAAATACACCCAAGACAAAGTAAATGACATGCCACTAAAACTCATATGCAAATTAATGATGTATAAAAGTTCTTCATTTCTGGAATTTTAAGTTAATCAATTTTTTCTCACCTTCAATTAGTTTTCCTGTCTGCTCTGCACTTCCACCAGGGAGGATCTTGGCAATATAGGCTCCGATTTCTCCACTGCTTCCTGGGATTTCTTTGCCACCTACTATTCTGATTCCTAACCCATTACCTATTTAAAAAAATAGATATTGGAAACTATAAGAATTAAGGTAACATATCAGAGAGTAATGAATAAAGCTCCACGAATTTAGACATTAACAGTCATACAATGTATACAGATAGTATGCAAACCATCCCAATCCAGCAAGCATTTATTAAACTCTGATCACATGCCAGACACTATCTTATCCAGGTATCTATACACATAAGTTGAAATTAGATACCATAAAAATATTCGCCCATTATTTCAATGACTTTGGGATATCTTGATGGACTTTTCTGGGCATTTCCCCAGTACACAGGTAACTGGGGAATAGGTCTACATTAAAAATGAACAACCAATTTTTGATCAGATCTGAATCTAAATGCATAACCTAGGTGGGCAATTAAGGAGAAAGAAGTCTTGTTTGATAGCTTCCAACTCCAACCTAATTAAAATTAATGTTTTTATGCATGTGTCATTCTCAATTTTTTTGAAGTTTCTCCTTGTAGTCCTATTGGTGAGGATAATCATTTGCAAATGCCATCCAGCCTTTACAAAAATTGTCCTCCTCTAAAAATGTTGACTAAGGAGTAGTACCATCTAGGAAATTATATAGTATTCACTTCATATGTCTGTGAAACCCAATTACTTCTCATTTTATTAGTGAGGGAAAATAACTAATAATAAAAGCTAGCATGCATATAGCACTATATGATTTACAAAGCACTTTAAATGTTATTTCATTTGATCTGCACAACAACCCTGTGAGTTACATGCTATTATTATCCCCATTTTACAAATGATGAAACTGAAGTAGAGAGAAATTAAATGACTTGCTCAGGATCACAGAGCTAGTAAATATCTGAGGCAGGATTTGAACCCAGATTTTCTTGTCTTCAAGTACTACTCTCAATCTATTATACCACAAACCTGCCTCATGAATGTGATAACCTGATTCATTTAAATATGTAAATGCCTGTGGTTGATCATAAATACATAAATGTAATTACAATTCATGAATTTTTCTAATAATTGTTTCCCCATTATCAATATTAGTTCAAGTTTAGTTATTTTAATGGCATTGATTTCGAGGCAGTCTAAAATATTCTTCTTAAAGACATTTAATTCTTTATATTATGTTTTGAGGAATAGAATGGGTCAGGACTAGAGGTGAGCACAAGTAGCAAATTAGAGATAGGTTAGGGAGAAGAAATGTTTGCACTTAGACATAATTTCCTATGAGGTACATATTATAAAATTGCCAGCTCTGTTTTCAAGGTCACTCTGATCTTAGCAAATGATTTACAAGTACAGATAGGATTGCAGTTACATGATTTATTTTTATTATAAAATTTAAATAGTAATTAAATTTGAAAATATTAGAAGACAGCATTTAAATGGTGGCCAGAAAATGGTACCTATAGCCAAAATATCAGTATTTTAATTCTACCTCCTTTTTACAAAATATCTGGCTTGCCTCAGTTATAACAATAAGGAAAAAAAAACCATTATATTTCTTTAAAATTTCAAAGTGCTTTGCATTTATTGGTTGATTTTTACCCCCATTTGATCCTCGCTATACCTTGTAAGATAAGTAATACCAGTATTATTATTAATTATTATTATTTCCATTTTACGGATGAAGAAACTAAAGTTCAGAGAAGTGACTTACCTAAGGGTCACACAGCTAGTAAATGGAAGAGCTAAGACTTGAACCCTGGTCTCCTGACTCCATATCAGTTATTTTTCCAACAAGTAAATTAAAATCCCTGTTCAGTTGCTTTAAAACAAAATCTGAAAATACCTCAAAGTCAAATGAGTATGGAATCAGAGAATATTAAGAGTAGAAGAGATGTTAGAAAGACTAGACCTTAGGGGTAGGTGAAGGAACAAATGATAGGTTGGGTTGGGAGAGAGGGGAGGCAATCGAGTTATTTTCCTTCTCCTAAGAGGGCAGAACTGAGAGTAGACAACTAGGGTGGAGAATTCACTTCCTTTCAATCCAACCCATTACACTTATAAACAAAACTGTTCTAAGGAAGTTTTTCCTGATATTGAGCTAAAATCTGCATCTTGGTAATTCCTTAATTGCTTAATTGCTCTTAGTTGTTTTCTCTAGAGTCAAAAATTCAAATCCCTTTCCACATTTCATATCTTCAAATGATGAAAATGAATTCCGAGAAATTCAGAAGACATACATGTACTTGTACAGAACAATTTATATGATGTTCACTACAAGATAAAGAAAAACACCATTGAACAACCTCAGAACTTTGATTAAAGAAGTAACCAATTGTGACTTCAGTTGACTAACCAATAATCAAACTGTATCTTAGCAGAGAGATGGTATAGTATAGGTGCAGAGTGGAGCCTGTGTTTTCAGATGTGGCTATTGTGTTGATTGTTTCACTTCACTTGTTAAAAGGGAGGGCTTTGGGAGTAGGGGTGGGGAAAGGGCAGTCACTGGGAAGTAACAGTGCTGCAAAAAGAAAGTAGTATTGATAGATAATCCATTTCAAGATAGTCCTTCAAATACTTGAAGGCAGTATATAGGATCTGACACACTGATACTAGTACTTATATATGCAGAAATATTTATAATCATTTTTAGTAGGTAAAAACTTGGAACAATGCATTTGTAAATCAGTTGGAAAATAGTTGAGCAAACTGTGATTATAAAAATATAAAGATATTATTATGCTATAATAAATGATTAATATAAAGAGTTGGGGGTACTTGGGAAGACTAACACAGAGGAAAGTAAGGAGAACCAGTTGCTCAATTGCCATAATTACCAAATAATGTAAAGGAAAACTTTGAAAGGTTAAAATTCTAGTTATTACAGTCACTAATTGTGACTTTGGATCACGACAATGAATCATGGCTCCCAGTTTTCATTATTAATACGGTAAACAATAGGTATAGAACAAGATATGGGCTATTAAACATGGCCACTGTTGGGATTTGTTATGCTTGATTATACTTATTACAAGGAAAAAGTTCTATTGCTGAAATTTAGGAGACTCATAGTGAAATGACAAATATTTTTTAAAAGACCATCAATAAAACTTTGAAAAATTATTTAAAAAATTTCCTATAGAGACATATAAAACTCCAGTAAACCCATTAGTTTAAACAAGCTGTAACTATTAGTGTACAAATAGTGATATGATATGCTTTTCCAACTGTTGATTCTGTAAATTAGAGCTTCTAAATAGAGAAATACTTTACTAATCTAATGACCAGTTGGGAACTCTAAAGTATTTTTTCCAAATCTGGACAAAATTCAACATGAATGTGGCAGAATGAAGTTATTCATGCACAGAACATATAATAAAACACATGGAGCCTTTTATTACAATAACCACTCATATGTAACATTTGTTCCCATGTTTATTGGGATGCCAAAATATCCACATGGAAGAACAACCTTGTGATGTAAGTGACGGGACACTGGCATGTAAATGGTATTGCTGAAATGTTGGTCTGACATAGCAATATATAATTATTCTCCAATATGAGATGTCTCTTGATAATCAATTAGTTGCACTAGGTAACTAAAAAACCCGAACCAGATTTCATCCCTAACTCCTTCCTTGTGGAGAATTAAAGAAATGAGCAGGAAAGGGAAACATTCAAAGCTTAACAAAGATGATATTAAGGTGCAGTTCTCCAAGACAGGTTAAACAAAGGAAAATAATAAGGGCTGATATGAATTATGGTTAGGCTGGTGTTGTTAGGAACAGAAATCTAACAGGTTCCTCAAATCCAGCCTTTCCCTGTGTCTAGAATATACTATCTCTTCCTCTTTGCCTCTTAGAATGTTTAGCTTCCTGCAAGGCTCAGCTCATTGGTCACTTCTGGGGGAAAGGCATTCCCTCCTCAGATTAACCTGTATTGACTTACATGTCTGTAGGTTATATCCCTCAATAGAATGTAAATTCCATGACAGCCAAATGTTTGTCACTGTCTTTCCATCCCTAGTACCTACTGGGGATTCTACAAAATGATACCATGGTATCTTTCCTTGTACATAGTAAATGCTCCAGAAACGATTGTTGAATTTAATTTAATCCAGCTCCTTCTTGAGATTTCCTTATTTCTATGAATGAAATTATCATTCTTCCAGTCACCTTGGTTAGAAAGTACCAGTTCATCTTTGTCTCCCTCTTTTCTTCTGTCATCTTATAAATAACCAGTCACCAAATCCTATCCATTCTTCTTCCATAATAGCTCTTGCATGGTATTTCATAGAATGAGACTTCAGAGGCCACCGATTCAAGCCCCTTATTTCACATATTAGGAAATTCAGGCCCAGAGAGATTAAGTAACTAGTTTTATTGTTGATTAAGTGGCCAAGCTGGGATTTCAACTTTGGTTCTCTGTCTCTAAATCTAATTCTCTTTTCACTGCGCTACAAGGCTTCCATCTTTATCCATTACCATAGCCACCACTGTGTACCAGGCTCTCACTATCATGTCTCATATCTCAATATCATGTCTCACTTATTGTAGTAGACTCCTCGCAATTCTTATCCCCAGTCAAGGTGAAGTTATTAATTTACTGTGAGAGAGATACAGCAATTATAGCAGGAAGTTTAATTTGTTTTTGATAAATTGTTTTGCTGTGACATAGAAAGCAAAACTGCTGCTTGGTAAATAGTTATTTAATCTGTTACTCCTATTAACCAGACAGGATGCTGTGTTATGAAGAATTAAGTACTAAAAAAAGGGCAGGGGAGCGCCTCCTAGAGCCTGAGGAAACTGAGGCATAGGAAGTTTAAATTACTTGCTCAAGGTACCACTGATAATATATGGTATACAGAATCATATTTCAACCATGCTACTTCTGGGTCTTAGTTTCAAAATATGTATAATGGGTATAATAATGGATCTATTGACCTCACATCATTTGTTGTAGGATATCAAGTGAGATATGAAAATATATGAAAACACTTTGAAAAATAAAAGTGCTGTGTAAAATGAAAGATATTACTGTTATCAAAATGGTTAAGTACATACTATGAA